GAAAGAAAAGAAACCTACAGTGCATCTTTACGGTTGTTTGAATTGAGCTGTCGCATTTGCAGCACTTGTTCCTGCAATAACTAAAGAATAAAGCTGCCTGTCTAGAGATCTGACAGGTTTCTGAACAGCGTGTATTGAATTGAGGGAGGTGTAGGAGATACCTTAGTCCGGAATTACTCCCAGTCTTCTGCAGTTCCCTGGAAAGAGGAGAGGAGATTTGCACTCCAGTGGTCAAGTGGTGGGAATAGTGGATAATGATCATCAGCTTTACCCCTCTTCCGGGTCTTCCTTTGCCTCTTTTATCAAGGCAATTTATTCAGCCTTCCTGTGTGGTATTTACAGTTGGCTCCTTGGCAGGGTGCGCCTGGTTTGTAAGCATGTTCATGTGTAGATTTTTATCATAAACTGGCAAAATTTTACTGATGAGATTTACAGGAAAAGAAAAGGGCAAGTCGTTATGGTTTGTGATAGCTAAAGTTGAACAATATTTTATTAAACTAAAAGAGTAGTTATCGTGGAGGTGTGCTGATTGCTGGTTTGCAGCAGAGCCATGTAATTAACCATTGTGCTTCAGACTTCTAAAAATGATTGCAAAAATAGTTTAATAATGAGTAGTTTCCTTTCATGTTTCTACAGTAGACTGTATAGATCACTGCTATATTCTCTAGAAGTGCTACTTTATGTGAAGTAAATTAGAGCATGGAAGAACTTTTTAGTTATAACTGTTATAACTGTCACAAGGCAACATGTAGATCATGATAGTATTTCTTCCAAAATATTTTAGCCTGTTACAGGCAAAATAAATTAATGAGTTCGCAACATAGAAATATTATTCAATTGGAAAACATTATTTATTGAACGTGTAAGACCTCTTTTAAGATGCTGTTTTTGCTTGTCAGTGAAGAGGCATTTATTGTCAAGGGATTCCTCAACAAGACAAAGATTTGATCCAGTGTTCTAATGTGGTGTTAGAGAGCAAGACATTTTGCGAATATGTGGTGCTTTCCATTATGGAATGTATATAAAATGATGTAGTAAAAGCTTGTGATTTTAACTTTCTAAGAGATTCTTGAAATGTCCTGGTATAAAATACCTGCTGGGCCTTTTCCGCTTGCTTTCTGACATACTAATCTGTAAGTGGGATATTTGAGTCAAATTTATTTGGTAATTTCTACACTTCATTTTTATTTGACTTTTCCTTTTATTGTTTATGGACTTCCTGCTGCAATTTTAAAAGTTACATTTTAGGGATGGAGCATTCTCTTCTGTATATAAGGTTAAACTATGGTTTTTTTTAAATGTCAGAAAAATATTTTGGAAATAACTTTATAACGTGGACAGTTATGGCTAGGATTTGCTTCATTCTAAAGAAATCCAGAAACATACCATCAGCATAAATAGGTTGTTTTGAACTTTATTAGTCATTGCAAATTTTGAAACTATTTAAGGACCATTTAAAGTTGTTTTTGAAGAACTACATAGTAGGATAATGTATCATCATTTGAAATTTGCAAGGTAGCTACAGAGAATAGTCTCATTTTTTAACCAGTGCTATGTCCTTGATGTGCTGCATCCTTGATGTGCTGCAGTCATAGCTGAAGTGCCAGACCCTTCAGCCCTGCAGGGTGGGAGTAGGAACATGCAGACTTCAGTGTCCCAAAAGGGCCATTGATACCACTGTGAAGGCTTATAAGCAATGTAGGCGCACTTGAAACAGGAAGAATGGTAATTACGGGTCGTAAAGATGTTCCTGTACATAAATAGTGCAGCTTTTTCCATCCTCATTTGGAATTACGAATGAGGAAGCGAGCGACAGAGAGGTCAGAGTCCTCCTGTCCTGCCTGGTCTGGCCTTGTGGGGCATGAGGACATGTGATGTAGTGGACATTTTATTCAGCAGACTGTCGCTTGTGCATGGGTTCTTCTGGCCTGAATGGAGCATCCACACGGCTGACGGCACCTACGGTAGCACTTCCCTGTAGCAGCTGTACCTTATACGCTTCAAAACGTTGGAGCAGTCCCCTGGTGTTACGGTAGTGGTGTACTCTGAACATGTAACTGATGGAAGAGATGCACGCACCTTTCATGTTAAATGAGTTTGGAAGGATTTTAGGAACTTGTAGGGTTTTTTTAATTAGCACCCAGAACACTTCATAAAGATACATGCAATCATATGATCTTTTCAAATCTACACTTGTTGTTTACATTAGTAACTGATGTGTACCAGTATTAGAGGTTTAAACTTAAGTCTGTATGGTAGCAGGCTCTTTAGACTTTCTAACCCCCTCCCACCACATTATTTTTCCTTTCTCCCCAGTAGGAGAAATTCCTCTCAGGATGACTACCTGTGCTTTTGTACGGTAATGTCAGCAGCAGGATGAAAGAGAAGACCAGGATTATCTAATCTTCATCAGTTTCAGTCTCCTGATGCTGTGCTACCACAAAAAATGTTAGTGTGTAGGATCATAGAGGTGTTTGTCCTGGGTAGTGCCTTTATGGCTTTCCTGAAAGGAGCATGGGTGAAAAAATTGGACTACTGAGAGAAGCTAGGACAAATAATGATGCCACTGTTGCCTGATCACAGTTATTATTTTTGCTGAGTGCTGAAAAGAAGGTGAGATCTTCAGGGTATTTTGTTTAACTGGAAAAGGAAAGACTTACAGATTCCAGACACGTTTGATAATAAGTTAGCTATCAAGTATTATTTACAGATAACTTCTAACTGAGAAAAAAAAATAATCTTTACTTACAAAAATAGTCAAACACATGCTGATCCTTAAGATTATCAAGTACGGTTTTGGACTGTGGCCAAAATAGATCTCCCAAATCAGAATACAGTCTGCTTGAATGGAGCCTACAAAGATATATTAAAAAAATAATCTGGTAATTGTTTACAGGATATATTAGACTTACTTTTTACTGAGTTGCATATTTCCTTTTTTGAGAAGTCTTTGTTTTTTCAGTTACAGTTTTGCATTCACATATTATGTTACCAAGACAGTGAGATGCAGGAAATTGACTGAAATTTTTATGAATTCTTAATGTTCCGGGTATGGTTAAAAAAATTAAATTGAAGCTTTGGCTTGACATCTCTCTCCTTGAAATGTCATTGTGTAAGGACAGCTGTACATAGTAGACAGTTTTTGTAGAAGATCTCAAATGAAACTGGAGATTAAAAAAATAAAGTTAATTTGAATTAATCTACCCTCTCATCTGTACAAAGCGATTTATTAACGTGTGGCTTGTTTTCTCCAGATCGCTACAATTTCACCAGGGATGGCATCATGTGAAAACACTCTAAATACGTTGAGATATGCAAATAGGTATGGAAAATGTTATTGCTCATAGCTATACCGGCTGTTGTCCACTGACATTTGGAATGCTGTTGTTCCATGATGTATAATTATTTTAGCTACTTGAATAATTTTATCGTACTTGCATTTCTTAATAAGTTTAAAACCAGATTACTGATCCAGGCTCACATTTAATTTAAATTGTCACTTTTTACAACCATTACAATAGAATCAATAGAAACTACATTTAAGCCATTATCCAGAGATGGATAATGTGGATTGCAAGGAATGTGGGAGATGCCCCTGTTAGTTTTGGCCCTGCTCTGGAGGCACCATGTCTCGCATTAGGGGTAGTCAGTATTCATGATGGTTCCCTGGGGTGTTAGCTGAAATACCTTTCTGCAATGTGGGTTTTTTTCATCCCCTTGGTGGAATTGCATGCAGTTGCCAGTCTGTTTCATACATATATATGAAATTTTATACTTCCCAACTTCAGGCAAATGTCTGAGACCCCTAAGTAAAGAGTCAATTAATCCAACGGTGACTCTATAATCAGTGTAGAGAAATTAGCACCCCAGAGGCTGATGCAGCACCTCTGAGGCCTGTACTGCTCTCTGAAAGTGTTTGCCTCTCTTCAGAGAGTGTGAAAGGTGCCTTCCCCTGCTGCAGTTCTCCTTCGTTTAGCGTCTGTGGAGATGGAGTGATCAGGTCCTGCGTGTCCTTGCAGTCAGACCTGCGACCTAGAGACCCCCCCCATGCTTTACTGCAAAGAACAACGGAGGCAAACAGCCTCTGGGCCATCAGAAACCCTGGTTTGGCCAGAAGAGGCTACCATCTAGTGGCCTGCTTGCCCCAGTGAAAGGTAGGGCAGAACCACGTCTGCTCCTGCTTGGCTGGGCACCCTGGCCAGTCGCTAATTGGGCACAAATGGCGGCTAGGAAAGCTTACCGCCCGCTCCTCTCGATATCCGAGTGTCTCTGTGTCTGGATCAAGGGAGCTAGCAGCAAATCTGCCTGGCATGGACCAGTCTGTGTGGTCTCCTTCCTGGTGAGAAGGAGGCATCTGCTCCCCTGCTTACAGCAACATAACAAAGGATCTTGCACATTCATCAAGATTTGTTGGATCTTTTACCCCTTACAGAATACACGTTGCTGAAGTGACTCCAGAAAAAGACACTGCAAAACTAATTAAACACCTATTTCTAGTATACTAAATAGTTGCTCTGAAACTGTTTCTTCCCCTTGGTGTTAAATTTATATGTGGTTATGGAGTAGAATCCTGTCACTGTAAAGTTGCTTCATGTGTTTTGTGTAGTATTTTAGTTTTTTCTAGCAATATATCATTTTCATCGTACGATTAGTTTTTAGGTGCTGGACACCAGTGTATGTGCAGTGTAAGACAGGGGGCAGAATAGAATTTAAAGTTTTGTAGCTGTAGTGGTTTGATATTTTAAAAGGAGCCATTTAGTGGAATATTGAATGTAGAGCAAATTTTGTTAACTGCACGAACTGAAATCTGGAATTACTCTTCTGAAAACACTGCTATTATAGTTCCCTGCAAATTAGCAGCACTGGTTTTGCTCAGTTTTGTTAGTGATCTGTAACCCTGTTTGCAGAAGGTTTCAATATGTTGGCACACTTGTATTTTAATATAAAAATAATTTTATAGTTAAACTATTAAAGAAGTATGCTAAACAAAGAGTTGTCATTTTAACTGTGTTTATAAGAACATTTTCTTTTAATTTGCTGCTGTATTTTGCTGCTGCAGAGTAAAGGAATTTGGAATTAGTCCTTCGGACATTCCCTTCTCACAGGGTAGTGGCAGTCGCTCTGATCTCTCTCCTTCCTATGAGTATGACGACTTTTCTCCTTCAGTCACCAGGTCTACTTCATTCTATACATGGAATCTTTATTTTTAAGTTTTCTTTTTGGCTATGTAATTTTACAGACCAACCTTCCATTAGTCCCCTTGCCTTGAGTCACACATACTTTGTTTTTATTTTGTTTGGCAGGTGATGGTTCTGCATGATCTGCAATCATCTTCCCAGTATTTTGTTCACCCTCCTTAAACATCCACACTCTGTATCCAGGCTTGCTAGTTTCCTTCATACATTTTTTAAAAGATGGTGATGTCACCTTTGTACATTTAGTGTACCAAATCTGACAAGTTTGTGTTTAGAATAATTCGAATATCTCTAATTAAAAAAGAAAACAATTCTCATACATACCTATTTTAAAAACTTTTCATTGCTCTGAAGATGAATGACAAATAGTTTCCACTGTAGTAAATAAGTGCTACTTGAAAAAACACTTTTCCCTTTAAAAAAATGAAGAATATGTTCTAAAACTTGCTATACTTGTAGACTTTGATGTGTCTGTTTCATAAGCTTGCTTTTAAATGGGCTTTTTTCTTTGACAGAATCATTATCAATCTTTTAAAATATTTTCATGCTGCAAGAGACTAACATTTTAATATGATATTTTCACCTTTGAAATTATCTTAATTAAAGGATCTATTCATTCTCTGAGATACTTGGTTGCAAATTATTTTCTTCAGAATTCTTGGTGGATTTGTTATAACAGCTAGTGGGGTGCTGGTTGACGAACTTTTTTGAAGCACAATTGTGTGCACAGAAAAAGATAGTCAGGTTTAGGATGCTGAATGAACTTTTCTTTCAAATGTTACTCATTGTTAAGGAGTAAATATTGAGGGTTTGGAGATTTTTGCCCTCTTAACCGTTAATGAGTAGCAAGATTTCAATCAGAAAATGCCTCTTGCTAGAAGATGGACTGTAATCCACCTGCAAGTAGTTGAAATCCAATGGTCCGTGCTTTTTAGGAGTTGGACTAACATTTTTTTGTCACTGAAAGTACATTAGATTTGTGAAGCTGACATCATCATCCTTATTAAATGAATTAATTGTGCTTAAACCCATAGAGCTTTATTTTTGGTTGTGACTCTTCTGCACAGGAAGTTACTAATTCACAAATGAAACATTTTCTGCTCATAGGGTGAAGGAGCTGACGGTCGATCCTAGTGCCGCAGGAGATATCCGTCCCATTATACACCACACTCCCAATCAGATCGATGACTTGGAGACACAGTGGGGTGTAGGGAGCTCTCCTCAGAGGGATGATCTCAAACTGCTTTGTGAACAAAACGTGAGTGGTTTACAGCATTACATGGAAATAGATGATGATAAATACAATGGCAGAACAAATCCAGAGTGATGTGTATTTATAGCCTGTTAGCAAGATCATTAAGTAACTACAGCATGCCTCTTCACCTTTTCGCTTCATGGTACTATGTTCATTCCCATAAAAAAAAAAACCCCAAAAACCAAAAACGTTTCTTGAAGGGTGAGAGGGGAATGTTTTAGTTTTCTTTATCTTCCTTGCTGATTAGGGCTTTTAATGTCTAGTCAGGGTCCGCTCTAGGCTCTGGCATTCTTTAGCGTGCATTTTTCTAGCATAGCTTCCTATTTTTTTAGGCAATTAGAAGTATCTTGGGACACTCATCTGTTTTATTTAACACTTGTGTTTTTGAGCATTATTTTCCCTGCATGCAACACTCGTTTCAAGTGAGTTTGCCTTTCTCTGCATTTAGAAATCTGACTACCTATCATTCCTCTTCCCGACATCCTGATTTTCATGGGGATTTTCTCCAGTTTGGGAGAGAGCCCTGTCATGTTCCCAGCATGTCTCCCTGGGCTGCAGGAGTGGGGAGCTGAGTGGCATCTTCTAAAGGGCATTTTCCCCTCATTGCTGATTATCAGCTCTAGTCCTGGTTCCTAAAATGTTCAACAGGGATTAAAACTCGATTTGTGAAAATGCTGATGAAAGATAGAAAAGAAAAATCCTTATTATGAATGTATTTTTCGCAAGAGACTCTGCCTTCTCAGATACCTCTTCATGGCGTCTGCTGTATTTCTCGTTTTAGTAACTGGCTCTTCTTCCAGGACTCTATTTTCTAAGAATATGCTAGTGATTCCTAAAGCTTCCCACTGGACAGTCCTTCCAGCCTGATATCCTTTCACATCATACTTTTTCATTGTTTATGTGGAACTAAATTAAGCTTTACAATATCTTTTAAAAAAGATTTCAAAGGCATCGTATAAGGAACTATACTGTCTTGCTAAAACATTAATTAGTCTACCTAGCACTTTCCCCTTTGTTAACTATTCATTTCTGAAGAAGCCCTGTTTGCCCCAGTTTGTAAATCCATGTTGTGTATTCTTCTAATGTATTAATCACTATGTACATTTTAGATTTCTCACTTTACATTAATTCCTCTTTTTTTTCCAAAGGATTAATTTAATTTTGATTTCCTGAAATGTATTGAATGTAATTGCTGTTCTCTTTTTTTGAAAATTGCTGTCTGACAGTTGTGATATGCATAACAAAAAGCCCTGACAGAAAACCAGAGTTTTCTGTAGGCATTAAAACCTACTAGAAATTAGCATTCTTCCCTTATGACTTCCTCTTCCCACTATTTTAACTTATTTTTTTAACGTGGAATATTCTGTTTTCCATAGGATTTTTCACTAGGATTAGTGGCTGGAAATTTTTAGTGAATATGAATTAAATTTAACTCTGTGAACATTTTGAATTTATTGCCCTCTCTGCTCATTTCTGTAGATTTTCTTGTTAGAAGTATTAAATTCTATTTTTGACAGGTTCTGCCTTCTGCGTATTTCTTTTCATGTTCTGTGACGAGATGGATCACATTCAATATATTTCCTGTAGCCACAGTTCTTTCCAGACTAACAAGCTTAACTATTGTTTTTAGGAAGAGGAAGTTTCTCCACAGTTGTTTACTTTCCATGAAGCTGTGTCACAAATGGTAGAAATGGAAGAGCAAGTAGTAGAAGACCACAGGGCTGTCTTCCAGGTAAAAGATGGAGCTCTACTTTGTTTTATGCTAATACAGGAATTCAGGTTTTCGCAATGGAACTGCATACTCTTGAAGATAAAGGATATCATCTGGTCATTCCGTGGCTGTCAGAGATTTCTAAATTGTTTTTTTATGCTAAGCCCGCTGTAGCAAAAAAAGAGGGACAGACTCCATAACCACTAATCTTTGTTCCCCTAATGAAAGAGAAGCATATTTCTATATCATCCCAGAAATTTAGTAAAATTTTCCTTTTCTTCTCAACAAACATTCCTAAATAGACTGTGTTCATCATAAGAAAAGTTGCTGTTTTCTTTTTACTGTTTTTACTATTCACTATATCTTCTGCTGTGGTCCTTTTCCAGCATCAGTGACTGTGGTTTTTTTCTAGTTGCAGGGAGTTAATTCAGATTGGTCTTGAAATTTTCAATTTCACTGTCTAGCCTATGCCAGTATTCCTATGCCAGAGCTGGCAATTAATAGTAATGTCCCTATCAGCACCATTTCTGTTTGGTCATCTCCCTCTAAGATGCTGCAGTACTCCCTCCAAGTAGCTCATCTGAGTATCCTTTTGTGACATCTCCCTCTGAGATACTGAGATCCAGAAGAGACACATCTCTAACTGCCTGTTGGCTTCCTTTTTACAGAGACATAAAGGTTTCCACTTGCTATTAGGCAGGGTCTTTGGAAGGAATACTGCCCATGCAGCGTAATGCTGGTCAGTGCCACAGAGTCTTTAACATTCACAAAATAAACTGTGGTAAGAAGTATGAGTTACTGGTTTTCAGAAGGAAGTTGCTTCTGTTCATAACCTTAGAGTCTTTAGGCAGGCAGGCTGTTTGGCACGTCTGCTGCAAGAGAACAGCAGAGCATTAAACCTGTAGGGAATACACACATCTCCTCAATTTAGGTATCTAACTTAGTGGAACATTGATGTGTGTTCATAATACAGTAGGATGCTAAACAACACATTTTACAACAGATGTAGAGGTTTAGTTATTATGAAACACTAACCCTGAAGTAAAACATGCGGAAGTGTGAAAGTCATATGCCGTATGCCATAGCTGTGTCCTAACGCTTGCGACTTCTGGAGAGACAAGCTGCATTAGTTTAAGATGTTACTACCTCTGTGTGTCTATCTGGCCTTCTGCTGGAGATTATTGCTCCTCCCAGCAGTCACTGGAAGGAAATGTGTCCGAGCCTCAGCTCCCTTTGTTCGCAGCATGGCTTGTTAGTTCATGCCGCGGGGGGAGGTGGTCTGCACCAATATGAAATCTACCAGCTGTAGCAGGCAGAAGTTGTCTTCTGTCAGCTTTCTCCTGGAAGCTGCTGATACAAATCATCCTTTCCTAACAAAAATGTCTCAGATAGATCAATGGAATGAATCGTGCTCTAGAGGTGTTAGTCTTCCTTTGCGTCTTGGATGTACAAGTTTACATTAGATGAGATGAATTCTGTCCCAATGTGAGGATAGAATCTGTCCTGAAAGCCAAAAAACATACATGGGGTTTGGACTATGCTTTCAATATGGCTACTGAGCACAGAGGGAAAGAATTTTAGTATTTCAGGCCCAGCATGCCTAGAACTGTCAGCTGCTTTCTTTTTTTAAATCAAAGCATTTCCAGTGGGATCAGTTCTCCTGATCACAGCTTTGCATGGTTCTGTAAGCTTTAAGCGCCTGGGTGCATTCTCCTTTGCTGCAAGAGTTCTTTTTTCCTCTTTTTTGGTAATATTCAGAGTGCAAAGATGCCTAAGAGCTGGTTTAACCAACCTTTACTCTACTCTTACCTATCTGGGGAGTTAGCTCATGCAATAGTGAGCTTAAAATAGTGAGTGTCAACTAGCCCATACTTAAAATTAAAGCCTGACTTCAAAGTTTGATACCTGCCTAAGGGGACATAACCATGACATAAAGTTCTGTTCTCTGAGTTTCTTAGCTTTACAACCACCTAATGTTCTGAATTTGAAGAGAACTGGGGTAGCTGGTATTACCACTGGAATTAAGAAACAATGTAGAAAACACACAGTTTTGCTGAATTAGGAATAACGTTTCAATTTTGCTGAATTAGGAATAAGGTTTTGTTTTACGATTGAAATCTGTTATATTGAGGTGACTAGACAGTAAAAGTGTGGTCATCTTGGGAAAAGGTCTAATTCATGTCTTTGTCTTGAAACTTGTCTTGAAACTTTGCTAATGTATTTAGTTGGGTTTTTTTAACTTTTATCTAGGAATCTATTAGATGGCTGGAAGATGAAAAAGCTCTTCTTGAGATGACAGAAGAAGTAGACTATGATGTGGATTCTTACGCTACCCAACTTGAAGCAATTCTAGAGCAAAAAATTGATATTCTGACCGAACTTAGAGGTAGATGGCTTTTAATCACTTCTGTGTGCATTGTTAGCAATGTGTTTTCATATGCCATGGGGACTTGCAGTAATAATGAGGAGAAAAAAAAGAGTGTGGTTATGTTTTAGGGTCTTTTTTCCCCTTATGCTGCCCTGCAGTGTCCTGTGGAAGGAACGTTTATTCTGTTGCCTAAGAGCAAGTTCACATCTGTGCTCAGTTCGTCCTAGTTTAAAGGAAAAATCTCTGCTTTACCTCCAGGAAGTATAAACTCAGTCTTGCAACTTTCCTTTTCTTTTCTTTTGTTCCAAAACAATAAAGGAAAGAAAAAGAAAATCCAAACGAACTGTATGAAAAAAGAAGGTAATGCAATGAGGAAACAGTAGTAGGAACTCCCGGTTCCTGCTCTGTTGCATTGTGTTGTGTAGCAGGGAGCCTGCTGTCATTTTTAAGACTGTGCTTAAGAGTGGCATTGAGCTCTGAGTAGCTTGGTTCCTAGCTTACTTTTTTCTTCAGCAGCCTTTCTGTCTGAATTTTGTCAGCCTCTCTTTGTTGAAAAAGAAACTGCAGATAATTCTTAGTGCCCAAAATTGACTCTTGCACTTGTCTTCTAAAGTCAGCTTGTCAGCTTGGTACCTCATAGAGATTAATTTTTCATTTTAGTTTCTGTAACTATTTGGACTCCAGGAGACATGCTATACTGGTAAAAATTCAAGGGTGGGGTTGGGGGCTGAGGGGCGGGGGTGGGATTTTGATCCGTGTTAGAAAACTCCTTATAAGATAAAATCTTACTTTTTACTCAGTCTGAGTATCTGCTGTAAGTTAGAAGAATACATCAAGCAAGTAAGATGTGGCCTGTTTGCCTTGTAAGCATGCATTGGCACCAGTATACTTTTAGCGAAGAATTGGAGGTACATTCGTTGGCTTTTTATGGACAGAAGACTATTTGAGACACCAGCAGTGAAAAAACACAGTTTAGGTGACTCCCTGTTCTTTGAAAACGTATTAGATACTGCTTTTGAAACAAGGTACTGGAGGTAAAGGCTATCTAAGAGATCCTTGCGTCTTTACAGGCAGCATGATACATGTATAGCTTTACAGGAGGGATGAACTGTTAAGTCAAAAATTCTTTCTCCCAGTATCTTCTGTGTTCTGCTCATGGCAGATAATGGTCACTGAATATTTCAGCTTTTATTCCTGGCACTCCGGGACTGACATCTTTACGCTGTCATTTTGGTTTCCTTCTTCCCGTTCTTGGGCATATTACTGGAGAATGGAGGGGGACAGGGACAGAAATAGGAAAGGATGCCACACTTCCTTTCTCAGGTTTCTTCCATTCTTGTTATAGTTATAATGAAACAAATGAATGATGCATTTATCTATTTATGGTGAATAACTTCCAAATTTAATCACAATGCTTTTCACATCCATAGAAAAACAGGGGGGAGTAGAATTTACTCTGCCGGTTTTAGAATGTACAGAAGTGACTGATTGTACCCTACATACAATTTTGTATGCCTCTAAGGATGGTTTGGAAGCTGCTGGAAAGGAAAGGGATGTATGTAGTGTGTATCTCCCTATACTCTGAGTTAGAAGCAGAATTTAAGTGTGAACAGGTTACATGCTGGGAATGCAATTGTGCGATTTCCAAACCTATCCTGCCTAGAGACGGATAGCACCTAAGAAGGGACTAAGTTGCTAAGCAACTTGTTTGTATGGTGAGTATTGAATTTAAGGTTATCTCAATCCTTCTGTACTTTGTAGCGTCAGCTATTTTTGTGGAGGAGTGTTCTTTCTTGTACATTAGGGCCGGGATGTGGAGCATCAGGGCTTAGTTTAAAGATCTGTGTTGAGCACAGGCACATCAGTACTCATTGTCTCTTTTCCATTAAAGATAAAGTGAAATCTTTCCGGGCAGCTCTACAAGAGGAGGAACAGGCCAGTAAACAGATCAACCCGAAAAGACCACGCGCCCTTTGAAATGGGCCCTTGCTGCTAAAGGAATCCACGAACCCGTACTGCTGTAGCACACATTTGTTACAAAACCCAGTGGCCGTAAGAACTCAACTACTTGAAAGTGTAAAAACATTAGAAATGTCTGTGGAAATGTCCTGTTTCTTACTCACCTGAATGACATTTTCAGTTTTGTGTGAAATGCTCCTATGATGTCTACAAAATGCTTCTAGACCAGACAGCACAACCATGCAGGGTTCAGATCTGTGAAGCACTTTGTTTAAAATATTTCATTTATTCAAATCGTGAATTTTATTGTTTGGAAATATTTGCCATGTTTTTAATAATGAAGTAAAACTGTGGCTATTAAAAAGTCACAGTATTTCCTTTCGACTATGTTCAGTTTTATTACAAAGACCAGCTGTGCAGTTTTAAATTGTGTTTGCGTGCATGCACACCTCACTAGTGGTTGTACATAACTTCTCTTCTACAGACAGCTGTGCTTACCTCTTCCCGTTCTGTGCCTTGATGAAGGCTACTTAACCCTAAACATCCTCTCTCTGAAGCACAGCCTTAATAAACAACATTCCTTATTTGTCAATATAAATTACTTTCAGTGTGTGTATGTTTTTAATGTGTTTTGAGACTTTTTTTTTTTTAGTGGCTAATTTTATTTTAAAGGATGTGCCATATCATTTGAACAGGAACTGCAAGAGCTGTAAAGAGTGGACAAACAGCTGGACATTCCATCCTCCTTGTAAAAATCTGGAATCTAGATTTATTTGAATACCATAAAGAATGGTTATATAATTCTAACATTTTCTCTGTAATTAAAAAAAAAAGGAAAAAACAGAACAAAAAACCAAAAATATAAATTAGTTGATGTATAATAAAGGGTAATGTTTAAGTACTGAGGAGAGTTGTATCTTAGGATAATGCAGATATACAGTATGTGGTATGGTGTGATAATGCTGTCAGAGTAAAGGTACGATCTGAGCTCTGCGTATGGATAGGATAACTGTCAAAGTTCAGGGATCCAGCTAAATACATACATTGGCCTTTCACATACTGTTAAAATTTGGCTTTTGATGCATGACAAACTTACATGTACATTAACTGTAGTTTGCAAGTAGTCTGAGTAGCTCTGTTGCTTTAAAAAAAGGTAGCTGATACCTATTTTTCCCTTTGTACAGTGCCAGCAGCTGAAAAGTGGGGTGAAATTGCACCGTTTGGGGATTTTGCACAATACCTCTACCTGGCACTAATAGAAATCCCACAAGTACCTGAATTCTCATGAAGGGCACCATGTGCATCAGCACTTTTTAGGTGGTGGCACTCAAGTTATTTTTGGAAGTCAGTATCCAAAAAAGATTGACCTTTCATGTAAGAACTTCTTGTCAAATGAAGAATTGTAGACCTCTCTAGGAGTTCTCCCTGTTTCCAGGAGTTTGTATCAGCAGACTTTCCCTTGGAACTGTTTAAAAATTACTTTCGGAATACAAGCCTGTTTGTTTGTGCCAGGCCTGGAGGGAAATAAAGGGAAGGCAATGAAAAGAGAGTTAAATGAGCCAGGAATTCTTGTAGTGTTTAATGTTTGTATCTCCCATAGGAAGGTAGGCTATGGGAAACTCTTGTCGCATCATGGTTAAAAATAAAAAAAAAAATCCTGTGTGTAAACATGAAAACTGAAACAATAATGTAGATTTTACATAATGTGTTTAATAAATTAAGCTATTAAATGAATTACAGATGAGAATTTACTTCTATGAAAGTTGTGCTTCGGGAAGGGTTTCACTTTGTAAGCGTATCGGAGTTACACTTTTGAAAAGGCCTCTGATTTCAGAATGAATACTTAACTTCTGGAGCGAACTCTTCTGTACAAATTTGTCATCTAGGAAGAAGTTCCCCAGAGCACTGTCCTGACTTTACTTTTGCAGCAGGTCTTAAAAGAAACGTCACACATCTTTGAGCATTTAAGAACATCGTCCATCAGTTAAAAGAAAAAAACAATTAAATAGAAGGCAGCAGCTGTTGTTAGCAGGTGATAGTACAGTTTATCATAGAATACCACAGGATTTCTTTGAAGATGCTCTAAAGAAATCTTACTTTCTAAAAAGCCTCTGAAGATTCAAACATCCTACATGAGAAACAGTGGCTTCCCTACTATTCCTCCATGCAAGCCTAGAGCCACAACCAGGCTGTGGTTTACAGCGGGTACTAAAGAGGACAGGAAGGACAGAGGCAGTTAGATTTCAGCAGCTTTTTACGAAGCCTTGTAAATGACGTGTCCTGTCAAGTAGCAGATGCAAGCTGAAATTGTGTCTACTGCAGGGGTAATGTTAAGAGACAGCCTTTGTGACAGAGCCTGCTGTAAAGGTCAGATCTACACTGATACTGAAGCAGTGAGAATCAAGATAAACTGATATGGCTGGTTACGGCACTTGAATTCCTGTAGCCCACTACTGTGATGGGCTGGAATTACTTGAATAGGACTCGGACGAGGTTATCTTGATTCCTGTCCTGTGAAACGAAAGCATTTAGGAAGCGTGACAGAAATCTCCAGCACTTGTTCCTTCTGTATTCGTCTGTGCATATTGCTGTGGCTACTTACCTCAGTCATAAACTGGCTCTATATGCAGTGGAGCAGCAGTAGAATAATTAAATTATAAAATAAATGAGCAATTCCGTTTTCCAGGACAATCTCTCAGGATGCCTGCAAATTCAACTACATATTTCTGTACATGTTTCTGAATCAATGACTTCTGAAGAATTGACATTGGATGTGTATAAAATGAAGTTCTGTCTTAGAGGAACTTCTGCTAATTTGCCTCTTCTCCACTTACCGTGCTCTTACGGAAAAAGATACGCTATACATGAAAAAATGACATGGTAGTTAATACACGGAGTCACACCTTCACCGCTGCATAATGCTACAGAGTTAATAGTTACTGTTTTCCTGAATCATGAGACAGACCAAACTGGATTTTTCTTTTGACAGGCGCTATGCAGCATTAATGCAAACTTCCTTGGGAAAACTCTGCCTTGTCTTTAATAACATGTATTTATAATCCAACCTATTAAGACAAAGTTGAAGTCTTTGTCAGGACACAGGCATGCATTGCTCTAAGACTCAGTGAAAGCTTTGGTGTATGTTAAAACTCCTCCTCGCCTTGAAGGGTGAAGTAGTTTTCTTATAAAAATAGCTGTTTGAATTTACAGTTGATAAAGACCCCTTCTGTCTATGCTTATGAGCAGTGGCCCTTCGGTAATTTTCTGCTGGTTCCTACAGTGGTTTGATGGCAATAAGGAGTGGTTAAAGGAGACGACACTGCTAGTTTCAGGTACCTTGGTAATGTTTTTCTAAACGATACCAAGCCCACAAGATAAATGCTTTTGTTTCTGAGATGCAGTTACTGGGATTTCTCCAAGAGAAGCAGATTACTAACAGACTTGGAATGTGGGTAGCGACCAGAGGACAAATGGAAGAGACAGGCATTTCAAATCAAAAGAAAGTGTTTAAATATACTTTAAAACAAACAAACAAAAAAATCCCAAACAAATGGAATGATTACAACTGGTTTTGTTGCCCAGACCAGACTTAGCGGTTTGTACTGTTGACTATTGTGCAAGAATATATTGAGGTGAAGTCCATGATCAGAGAACACAGACTGCAATTATGGCAGCATCAACCCATGTTATTTGGTATATTTAAAAATACACTGTCATGTGGAAGTCCAGCATCTCACTTCAGTCATGAAAGAATTTATCGCCTTTAAAATACAAAGCAGCAGCTTCTTGCCTACTATCTGTGCTAAAATTGCATGTAAGGTTTTAAAAAGAACCAGAGTGTGTACGCTGTATTGTTCATTGCTTTTGTGAGAAGAGCTTGTCCCAGTTGCAGTCACTCTGGTGTAAGTAATGACTTCGGTGACAAAATACAGAACATCTTTCATTCTTCTAGCAGAGTCTATGAGAAATGGATGCCTTCTGAATTGAAGCCATGTAGCAGTCTGAAAGAGTGAAATATTTATGTTACGATTTCTACTAATTTATACTTCAGCTTAGGGCATTTCTAAGACGTGCTAGCTGGCAAAGAACATAGGAAAATAGCATGAAAGCAGCCATCACTATTCAACTGCCATAGAAAAATTGTTACAAATCTTAAACTAGAAGTTATTAGCAAATTTGCCATTTTAGAGATGCAGGTATATTTTCAGGGCAGTTAGTTATATTGCATCCTACCAGGTTTACTACATTTTTTTAAAGAATGGTAGCTGTATTAATTGTGACACTGAGAAACAGCTAGGAATTTTTATCTTCAATTAGGAGAGGATTCACGTTGCCACTGAAATTAACTGACCAGAAGTAAGAGCAGAATATAGCAGTTAATTACTCAAATTTCCAAATTATGCTATAGACTAAGGCCTACTCCTCAAGACAGACAGAGAAGGGTTGTATAAGTCTCCAGGGAAATTAAAATAACCAACTCCATTTTTAAGGCTATTTTTAGAGGAGACAGAAGGGTCTAGTAGACAAATACCAGAAATCTTAATCTTTAGCTAGTTGCTTCTCAATACTATAAGCAGCAGTTAAAATATATATAGGGTTTAAGTGCTTGTTCATGTTCAGGACTGGAAGCAAGGAGTGTCTGGCATTGAGAGGAAAACGGAGTTAGTACTATTCCTGTGTAACCCAATACTAATCTGTGCTACACACGTACACATGCAGATACAATTTGAAGAAGTGTAAAAGGAAGGCATAAAGAGAAAAAAAAAATACCTAATGAAATCATCTATATCCATTGAACGGGCTCGTTTTTCAGAGTAACCTGTATTTATTAGGACTGTCTGTATCTTCTCCGCAATTTTGAAGTTTTCAGGTATTTCCTGTCAATGGAAAATAGGATACAAATTCATTTTCTATTCATAGCATAGAAAAAGGTTCATTTAAATGATCTATTCTTTTCCTCCTTTTAGAATAGTTCTTGCTTCAAGTGATAGAAATAAGTTGTATTTTTTCTTGTATGGATTATTGTATTCTTCCATTCTTGTTTCTGAATTTTTACACCTCAGCTCATGCACTATAAATGAATCACAACAGTATTGCTAAACAGACACAAAAAGCGTTATTAGATTCTCATTAGATGAGTAAAAAGCCTTGAGACATGTACAGCCAATATATTAATAACATACTCAGCTTTCAGCTTCTTCACTGTAATTGAATGACCCTTTTAGATTTTTCTCTAAGAAAAGAGGTAAGTTCCTCCCTCCGATGCCGGGGGTGAAATCGATAGCCCAGCTCAAGTGCATCTACACCAATGCACGCAGCATGGGCGGCAAGCAGGAGGAGCTGGAAGCCATTGTGCAGCGGGAGAGGTATGACTTAGTCGCCATCACAGAAACATGGTGGGGTGACTCTCACGATTGGAGTGCTGCAATGGATGGCTATAGACTCTTCAGAAGGGACAGGAGAGGAAGGAGAGGTGGTGTAGTGGCCCTGTATGTTAGGGAGTGTTTCGATTGTCTAGAGCTCCACGATTGTGATGATGATACGGTTGAGTGTTTATGGGTAAGGATGAGGGGGAAGGCCAACAAGGCAGATATCCTGCTGGGAGTCTGTTATAGACCACCCAACCAGGATGAAGGG